AGACGATTTCTTTAAATTCAAAGAGAAAAATTATGACTTCATACAAATGTGTATTTTTGTATCTAGTTTGTAATGTATGTATTAGAATAATAGGCCCAGGTCAGCCAATCTCTGAAAGGAATTGGCCCTGAGTCACCATGGTGATATCAACCCACCGATTGCAATGCAGTAAGGGGCAGCAAGTGTTCACTCAGAGTTTGTACAAACAGGCTGTATGAACTGAGAGCATCAGATATTTTCTCACATGTTGGCCTAGTCTGTGAAGTGTGGGGAAATGTCAGGAAAATCAATAGATAAGGACCACATCAGCCAGAGCTTGTCTGGCCTAGCAACAGAGCATCCCCATGGTGATGTCAATTACCTCTGCTTTACAACAAAAACACCAGGAAGAGCAAAACAGTCTCTGCAATGCTGTAAAACTTTTAATGCAGTCTCCTGGTTACATTGAGGAATTTGTAAGACACTTTATTTTTTCTTGTTTCCACCCAGACAGGTAGGTAACACCATGAATGTGAGAATCTTATTGATAGTTTTTTTTTCTTTTTCGCAGCTCACTCTGTTTTCTATTCTCCTCATGGACGCCACATTAGTCAGGGAGAGGTATAATGTAACGAGCAGTAAGGTGCGCATAATTGCATATTAGCAGCAACACACTTGGCTGCACGGGAGGTGACTGCGCTAACGAACAGAGAGGCGTTATTAATCACCAATTAATAAAAGCAGCCAGATATCACACTCAGTATATGGCACGCATGGATTCCTTTGTTTCCAATGGCTGGTCCAGGCCTGTTCTCTTATTTATTTCATAAGATTGATCCTGTTCCTGTGCGGTGTTGTCTATTGAGTTCTGACTCTGATCCAGCCCCCTAGGAGTCAAATGAGAAATGTTTGGCCATGTTTGTTAGCAGATAACATGTGTGTGTTGTATATGAATGAGTCCCAGAAATTGAGGGAACAATAACAGATGTACGTAATCAAGGAGAATAATAGGAAAATAAAAAATCCCAAATTCTGTATATGTACCAGAAGAAGAGTAAAACATAAGTACTTAATTGAGTTGTTAATGTTTTGCCACAAGGACAGAGACAGTAAAGGAGACCATGTAATCATCATACACTGGCCAAGTAAGTCTAGGGGCCAAAGACAAGAGGATATGTGTCAAGGATAATTTGCGGCTCTCTGCAAGAAAACAAAACAAGCCTTCCAGCTTTGAATGTTGTTACAGTGTGCATCCTGTCCGTTCCCCTACTGACAGCCAACACAGTATGTTTTGCCAGGTTGGAGCACGGGTAATATGAATATGTGAAAGCTACATAGTAAGGAAGAGGAAAAATAGAGAGATGGTGGACTGCAAGAGGGGAAAGGAGAAAGAGAGAACAGAAAGGAGGAGGAGAAACTAGAGGAGAGCTAAATGCCTCTCACTCGCTCTGCTCTCCAGCCCTGTAACGGCCCACAGTGCCCGCTTCACACAGAGCGGCCAGCTGTACAGCAAATGTGCCTTTCCCTCTCCGCCCCCGAACCTTTCCACCCCTCCAGTGCCCCCCTCTGCCAGGGCCGTCCAGGCCACCGGCTCCTCTCTGTGAGAGAAGGCTCCTCCCTTACTTGGCTTCAAGCTCAGTGCTGTCACCAACCCAACAAAATCTGTAGAGGTGACCCCGAAAACACTTTTCTGGGATGTGGTTTGGTGTGTTTGTTTACAATTGTCCTTCTGAGCACTGCCACCTTGGCATTAGCTGCTTGGAATGGACAGGAGTGATATGACCATTGGATTGAAAGCAGATATAATGGAAAAGCACAAACCCTTTTCACCTTTTAAAACCCTTTAAGACAGAGCCTGTGCTTCAAAACATGTCACCGCTCTGAAAATCCACACAGGGACATTTGAAACAGTGCGATAAATGGGCCAAACGTGCCCCCCATGAGGCTCCAAATGTCATAGTTTACAGTGGGGTCAAAGTGAAGCAATGGGGTGGCATGATGGCATGCTGATAAAACCAAACAGGCTTTTGTGTCAATGAAAGACCTTCAAACATTCTCTGAAAAAAAAAATGACAACTTTGTAAAAAGCACTCTGATTATACATATTTTTTCCAGAGCAATAACTACAGATCAAGATGGCAAATTGAACTGCAGGACAGATTTGTTTTCTCACCTCAAAGAAAAATAGAAATAAAAGGTTTGATAGTGACTGCAGCAGCTGAAAGCTGTATAAATCTGTGTGTCTCTAGAGAAAAATCGGACACCCTCAATTCTGTAAGTGAGCCATGCCAAAAAAACTCTAAACTAAAGAGTGGCCAGCTGTCTTCTGGCTTGCTATTAAATTGCTCCTTGGATGGTGGCGATATCATTTTTTCTCCATAGGAGGATCACACCAGGTCCCCAAACAGAGCGACCAGCTGTACAGCAAATGTGTACTGATCCATCTGGGCCCTAGCAGGCTGCGGCCTCCATCTTAAAACACGTGGGGCCGTTCACAGGCTTGGCTGGGGTTGGTCTTCAACACACCCCTCTACACCCATGGCCACCTCCTCCCCTTTCATTTACCTCCATTATCATACTAAATGTTGAGTAGCTGGGCACCAGAGCTGCGCTTTATATCTGAAGCAGGACCGCCATCGTTTTAGTGTAATATCCGTGCATCAAAATGTGCTGGCAGTCGTACAGAAGAGGCAGCCACGAGCACTTTGGACCGATGGGAGGAGGTGAGGGTGGAGACTGAGTGCACTTGGTTTAGAGAGACTATTGTATTACAAAGGCAGCTAATATGGACTTGCCTGGGTGAGACAGTCTCAGGTTTTGTTGTTCCATACACTTAGCACTATGCTTATGTCAAGGCACATCACTATATATAGAGTTATCAGTGTGAATTGACACCATGGAGCGGGGCATGGATGAAAACAACACCCCTATGAATCCAGCGTCTGCTCCATTACCTACGCTAATAACGCTGACAGCTGAGCGGAGATGACCCCAGCCCCCTGTTTCCCCTCTCCTGTGCAGATGGCCATTAAAAGGAGAAAGTGTCCCCTTTTCAGTAGAGAAGGTATTTAGAGCTTTTCCAAATTAGTGTTTTTTTTCTGTGTTTTTGGCCCAAATTGGCTTTGCAGTGATTACAGACTGGATTGAATGTAACCTCATCCTGCACTACAAGGGGCCTATTCTCCAGAAGATATATAAAACCAAGAGATCAATGTTAGTGGCGTGAACTCATGCATATGTTTTCCCATATACCTCGTGTGAAATACATTTTCTTTATTCAATTCCCTTTTTGTTTGTTGGTTTCACAAAATGCAGTCCTTTCTCGACAACACACTACCAAATTGTCATTACAATGAGTTTTCTTCTCTCCATAATTTCGAGATCACAAAACCAATGCATGTGACAGAAACCCTTTTGAGGAGTCTGATGAAACCCGTGATCATGTAGAATACAAAGCAACAGCATATCAGAGAAGTGAGACATCAGACAATAACCCAATCACCTATCCTCCTGTTATCTTAAGCTGTCTGAATTCCACTATTATGGGGGAACTGTGTGCTTGTGCGGCTGACAGACATAAAATAACCAGTAGGGGGGTTTGTTTTCTACCCTCCCAGTGTGCTCCGTGCCTGCCTTTGCGAGAGAAAGGACTAATGCTGGCATGGTACTGTATTAGGCACCCCCAGTAGAATAGTGGGTGAGCAGATCGCAAAGATGAATACAAAATACACACCTACACACTCTCAGCTCGTCTCTCTCTTTTGCAAATACACCGAAGCATCAAAATCACAAATCACATGCTTCTGATTGTTTATGCACAAACAGTGGGTCCCTGATAGAATTGCCTACCGGTCCTGATAGAATTGCCCACCGTGTTTAAATTCACCTGCGCCTAGAAGCGTGTCCCAAACAGAGAGGCGGTTTGGTTCCAGATCAATGAGTCTCTCTCCCACTGAAGACAACAGATAATGCAGTGTAATGAAAGAGCCGCCAAACGAGCTGAATAAATGAATGAATAAAGGAACGTGAGACCGGAATTCAGACGCCTACTTACTGCAGGCAAGAAAAACCTGTTTTCCAATTGTCTGTTCTCTACAAATTATTCTGCCTGCATACAAATGAAAACCAAAAGTAAATACGTTTTGAAAATGGCGAGGTTAGTATTACACCAGCAGTCTTTGTTTAGGAATCTTATGAAAGACAACTTGAAATTTGGAAAATAATGTGTGATACACAATGTGATAAAAATCAAATATCCATTTGTTCAGTTGATTTGACGTCGATAGAGCATGAATGTATTCTACCAAATGTTGTTTTCAGATCTCACTTATCTGAACATACTACTTAAGTGAGGAGGAGCAATAAACAAACAAAATAATGTACAGTTGCAATGTGGAGATTTTTAACCAAAATTGTGGAATAATATTTGGATTTTTTAACAGTTCCAATCAAATCTGTTTTGGCATTTCTTTATTTAAATAATCTGTATATTTCTACTACTTCAAACTGTCTCCATACAGAGTGGTTTGAAGTGAAGAGATTCTGCTCCACAGGCATGCACACGTACTATAGTATACCATTCACATGCATGGGGAAATGAAGATGGTGGGTTTAAAAATGCACAACACTGGGGATGCAGTTGATGGTCAAAATATTAAAATAATTCCACCTATTTGGTGATGTGATCCAGATACTTGTGAGCCTGAGTGAGACAGGGTCAAATATTTTATTACATATCACATCAGTTCTGAGTATGTGATTCAGCTTTTGAAAATATATGATCACACTGCCTAAAATGTATTTCAATGAATCAAATACTTGATGTGAAATTTGGTGAATTTTCCTTAATGAAGTATTCCTTCTAACATAATATTGCACACCTAAAAGCTGTGTTGATTAAATGTATGCTACAATTTAAAAAATACATATTTTCCTAGATATTACACACTCTTTGGATGATGGGAAAATGTTATGTGGCCTCGTTAGTGTTAGTGTTGCCTGAATGAATACAACAAAAAGAGTTATCTCCTACCCAGCATGTGGTTGGCCACATGGACTTGGATGTCCCATTCACTGTAGAACACCATCTGACATTTGATGCACTGATAGGTCTTCTTCTGAAAAAAAGACCAAGAGGAAACGGATAAATAAAAGGGATTTTAGTAAAGAATTACGTTGCACATTAGGTATCAGTTTTGTTCATGCATAGCAATGCAAAATATATTGTGAGGCTCAAGATGTTTTAACTGTTGTATTCATTCAGTATAACAATAGCGAAAACAATACCTCGTCAGTTTGTGAGGGACTGGCTCTTGGCATGGGGGACACCTGGGGGGTCTTGAGCTGTCCGCCGTTGCTGTCCCCAGCCTGGTCCCGATGCACTGTCTGGATATGGTTTTGTAACTCAGCTTCAGACTCAAACTTCACATTACAGCTGGAGCATCTTGTCTTGGCAGCAGATAATGAAGATGTAGAAGAAGCTGAGGATGATGAAGATACCACTTTGCCTTTCGCGTCTCCAGGGCTGAGCCTCTCCCCCTGGATCCAGGCAGCATTGGTTGTGGCTGGAGTGGTTGCTCCACCATGTTGCTGCAGTTGCCTTCCTCCGTTCACTGTTGGACTGGAGCTCTTGGAGCCAGCTTGTGTCACGCACGATGCACACAGTCCGTAAGGCAGTCCGTTGATGTCCAGTTTCACCAGGTCCTGTTTGGACCGGAAATCTTTCAGGCAAGAGGCGCACTTGAAAGGTTTTTGGGTATGGTGTAGCTGCTGGTGGTGAGCAATGATATTGTTGCGAGCAATAGTTGGGTAGTTGCCGGACATAGTGCCTGTCTTTTGCATATGGAAAGTACCATGGATTTTGAGCTCCAATGTGGAGGTGACGGTCTGCATGCACACCACACAGCGGAAACCTGTCAGGGAGTTCCTCAGGTCAGGGTGCATCTGGCAATGCTCCAGGAAGTCCTCCTCACTGTGCAGTGGCATCTTACAAATTCGGCAGCTACCTGTGTCCAGACTCTTGCTATGAGTGACCTTGTGCTCAGTCAGTGTGAGCAAGGAAGGGAAGCGCTCCCCACAGATGGGGCACATATAGTGTTTGACAGGCCCAAGGTGGGTCTGCATATGTTCCCTTAGCCCAGGCTCAGAAAAGAAGGTGCGCGAGCAGACATTGCACTTGTGGGTGCCCTTTATCATATCAGCTTTCCTTTTCATCATGGCACTCTCACCAGGGCGTATATTGTGGTCCCTCAACTGGTGGTTAGTGAGGAGTGAATCCATGGTGTAAGATGCTCCACAGATGTCACACGTAAACAAGGGATCTGCAGTGTCCAGCTCTTCCTCACTTCCATCGCGGCTGTTATGGGTATCGACCACAGTTCCTAATGTTGTTCCTGGCCCGTGGCTGTTTGTTAGGAGACTATGCAGCTCGACATCTTCTTTAGGCTGGCCATCCCCTACAGTAGAGCCATTAGCACCACAGTTCTGTGCCTTTCCCTCAAACACGCAGTGTTTCTCCCTCAAATGCTTCTCCAAAAGGACAATGGCATGGAAGGCCTTGCTGCAGAAGCGGCAGTTGAATTTCTTGCTGTGGGTAGTGATGTGGCACTGCAGCTCCACCTCTGTGCCAAAGGACTCACCACAGAAAATGCATCGGTGGGAACGGCCCTGGTTTTCAAGATGGCTGTGTTTTACATGTAACTGTAGGTCAGTCTCATGCCTGAAGTCCCAGTTGCAGGAAGTGCAGCGAAATACCTTTTTCTCATTACTGTGCTTAACAGCCAGGTGGAGCTGGGTTGACACCTTCGAGTCAAACACCTCCTGACAGAGAGTGCAACGAAAGAACACAAAGGTATGCATGTCGAGAAGGTGCTTCTGCAAGTCATCCACTGAAGTAAACTGCTTGTCACAGCTCTCACAGATGTAATACGTGGAAGTTATAGTGAAGTGAATTGTCACATGCTTCAACAGGGACTCTTGGTTGGGGAACTCTTTGTTGCACTGTGGGCAGGTGAGTTGGGGCTGCATGCCATCCAGATGAGTTTTTAGGTGAGTCTGGAAAAGGTCTAGACTGGTATACTTGGCTCCACACTGGTTACATATGAACTCACTGGTAGTGCGTGAGACAGAGCTTCCTTGTTTCAGCATGGTATGTTCCACAGATATTGGAGAAGAAGGGCTGAGAGTCCGCAGGGATTTCTTTCCATTGTTGATGTAGTTCAGTGCAAGTGGAATGTTCTTGTGATTCTCCTTGATGTGCTTGTTGAGCTTCAGAACACTGTTGAATATGGGTGAATTGGTGCAGTATGAACAGGAGTACACCTCTACTATAGACTCCTTGGGAGTTAAAGCCATGGGGGAGTCAAAGCGCAGGCTTCCCCCGTCACAGTGAGTCTGACGAACATGCTCCTCCAAGGTAGTCTCCGTCAAGAACCCCATGAAGCATTGAGGGCAGAAGAAGGCATTGCTCTCCTTTGCCACAGGACTTGGAAAGCCATGGGAGCAACGTATGTGTTCCTGGAGGGCGTTGAGGTCACTCAATACCTCAGTGCAGAAATTACACTGAAGGAGGGCATCAGGCAAGCTGGCTAACAGGACAGCGTGGTCTTCTGCATTGTGGACCTGCCTAAGATGTTCATTTAGATTGAGTAAAGATGGCAGAACCTCCAAACAAAACTGGCAAGTATGAGCCTGCTCTGGCTTGTCCAGATGCATGGTTCGCAGGTGAATTTGAAGCACAGCCAAACTGGAGAATACTTGCTTGTTGCAGTACATGCAACTGTAGGAGACTTTGGGCTGCTTGGAGGAACGTCCTCCCATGTCTGATGTGTTCTGAGCAGCCCTCTTTCTCCTCCCCCTCGCCTTGGGCACAGGTGGAGCAGTTTCCACCATTGTTGAGCTGTCGACAGAGAGGTTAGAGTCAGGAGTGGTGCTAGAGACAGAGGTGTAGCCCACGGTCAGCAAAGAAGGGCTGTTGCTATGGTTACTAGATTCGGGGAGCTGGTGGATGTCCATGTGAGCGTAGAGGTCCTCTACTGACAGAAAGTGCTCAGGGCAGATAGTACAGGTGTGTCCCTTCCTGTCTCGGCTGTGTGACTGGTCGATGTGAGTCAGAAGGGTGCCCTCATCACTGAAGGGCTCATGGCAGTAAATGCACTGTAGGGTGGCACCCAGGCCTCCGTCCTCTGATGGAGAGCATTCAGGGTGGCACTCAGCGATGTGCCTCTGGAGCTCCTCTGGGACATCAAAACCTTCCTCACAACGGCTGCATTTGCGAGTTTCTTTCAGCTTCCATTCCTCACCTCTGGAAAGGCTTGCACTGCTTCCATCCTTGCCTCTTTCGTGTACTTGCATGTGGCCGTGGAGAGAGCTGGAGGAAAGGAAGCCTCGGCGGCACACAGGGCACTTGTGGGGTTTGTTAGAGGCGTGAGTTTTCATGTGGATTTTGAGGTGGTCACTGCGGGAAAAGGCAGAGTCACACTCTCCACAGTGGTACTTCTTATCACCGGTGTGAAGCTTCACGTGTCTATCTCGACTGCGCTTGTGCTTAAACAAGCGGCTGCAAAAGGTACAGCTGAAAGGGAGTTTATCCCCGTGGCTCTGTTCGTGGCGCTTGAGGAAGCTTAAGCGGCTGAAGGACTTGTCACAGAACTGGCATGGGTATGGCAGGCCGGGGCCCCCTTCATCTTCGCCAAAATCATAGTCCTCGCAGTGTCCTGGAGAGGTCTGGTCTTTACTGGAGGGAGACGATGCAGGCCAAGAACCAGATGGGTCATCTTCAAGATCAGCACCGTCTGAGAAAAAGGAGAAAAGAGGGTATATGGGGTAGGAAGGGAAAAGATGGAAAGAGAAGGAGAGAGTGAGTTAGAGAGGTGTATACTGTATTAGCAACTCATTGGTCTCACTCTGGTGTAGACAGGGTGGGCCACTGTGGTGTTATTTGTCATGGTAATTATAAGGTTGTGGTGTATGAATTTAGAATGTGCCACTAAGAACATTTCTTCTTCAGTGGAAACAATACTGTACCTCTCCTTTGGTGTTAGCTAAAAAGTTACACTTATATGCAATTTAAAATATAATTAGAGAAGAGAATAAGTGGAAATGCTTTTACCACAATTAACCTTGTATGTGGCCATGTAATGGCTTAGCCCACTGTGACTTCAAACACAATCTCTTTGACATTTAAAGCCAACACAAGACAATGAGTGTACTTTAGGATGTAAGCCCGGCATGAGGTAAATTAGAACATTTCTATTATTCCTGAAAAAGTACTTGCATATTTTTAAAGAAACAAGAGCCCTTGAAATGACCTTAAGACAAGAAAAAAACAAAATAAGGAAAAGCAGCTCTCAAGAGTGAAAGAAAAGATTAAATATGCAATTTCGACCATAGCTATGCAAAGCCTTTAGGAAGCCTCCACTGCAAAACAGATGATTTTCATGAAACATGGGCATCTCAGAACATCAGTCAATAGATATCAGATTATAGAATAGGCATTATTATCATATTTGTCTGTGTGGTCTGCGCTAAGCCGTAAGGCAACTGATACAGGATGGATGAATGCGCAGGGATGCAGAGAGGGGCAAGGAGGGGACAAGGAAACGGATAGGGGAAGACAAACGAGAGGCTAAATATCTCACTCAAGGACAAGCAGGTGCAGAAAATGACCAGGGAACACCAGTCAACTGACAATGCAGCCCCCATTTTTTTAACAATTACTTTAATGTGTCCCTTTTCAAATCGCTTCTTTGCCGACATTCTATTCCCCCGGTTCACTGTGCACATATGAATGGAAAACACTGAGCACCACTTTCCACAAGTTCAAAAGGTTACAGGCCACTTCTTCCCGCTGCCGATTCCAAGTGCTGTGAACTTCCTTACCTAAATAAAACAACGTAATCTCAACCCCCTTCAGAAAAGAAAAAAAACTGGAATGGGAAATGGGGAAAAACAAGAGGAAACGGCAAAGATTTATGAGAGGGACGGAGGAAAAGCACAAGCTCTTTCCAGGATCCAACCTCTGTACTCTCCTTCAGCTGACAATCTAAGTCTCGCTCTCTCTCTCTCTCTTGTTCTGTTGTTTTTGCTGGGAGATCTGCCCTTTGTCAGGATATCATGCCCTCTCTGAGCACTTACCCCCATCAGGGCCTATCTTCAGGAAACAGATGGGGTCGGAGGCCATTCCCTTGCCCCTCCAAACTGCTGAAAGCGGCATATTGAGAGCCCACCTCCACACCGTGGCCCTCCCGGAAACCTCCCACCCCTGGCAAGGCGCCCACTCTGCACACATACATCTCACTCAAGGAGCAAACCTTGCCTGATTTACTTGCTTTATCTCTCAAACACGTCTCAATGTTTTCTCTCTCTCTCTTTCTCTCTCTCTCTCTCTCTCTCTCTGGTTTGAGGGAGGATGGGTGACTCAGTGCAATGCCCTCCTCCACAGAGGGGGCGGATCTGCCCTCACTCATGCTGCCTCCCAGGGTATAGGAGAAGAACAGTGCAAGAAGAATGACCCCAGCCAATGCCTTACAGTCAAACATATTGGCTGGGAGACAATAGCATAAAACAAACAAATAAATGGGCCTGTATACAAGGCTAAATTAAATTCCACTGTCTTAAATGAGGATGCCTTTGCCTTGAGACATTACTAAGCTGTCAGTACAACCTCATTGCAATTTTTTGTTTGTTTACTTGATGTATATTATTTATATAGTGCATAAGCTCTAATAACACAGATGCATAAAGCTGTATCTGTGGGGGACATGTGGACAGTCAGAGACATTGCTTCATGTCAAATAGCAGTAGCAATAGCATAACATGTTTAGATGGACAAACGCTATGTTGATAATATGTTTGTGAGATATTACAGAAGCTGCTGAAGACTAAAATAACACCATAATATACATTTTTCAAATTAATTAATGAACAGAATAATAATGTATTAAGTCACATGGTTTGTACTACTTAAGGTATCACCATAGAAATCTGACTGGAAGAGTTTTTAAAGTAACATCAGTTGCTGGGGCTTATGTCTTACTGTGACGGCCATTAAAATGTCTGATAGAAAAAGAGGATGAATATTATAACCGTTTTATAGCATTTGGAGGTGAAGCTGTACTTTTTTCAATACAATTGACCCTCATAACGAGGCTTACTACAGTTCTACTCTATCAGTCACACACTCAGTAATACACACATGAATTCACACACTGCACACTCACTCACTCACTAACATATAGATGTGCAGACATACATGTACACATAGAATTCACAGATAAAGGCGCAATGGCCGAAACAAGTGTGTGAACAACTGTAGATGAAAGAGCAATATTCCTCAGGAGACCTCAGAGAGGAAACAGAGAGTGAGACTTGTTTTTTTCCTTCTTCACCCAGACAAGAAATGCCCAGGTCTCAGCAGCAGCCTGAGTAAATAAAAGAGCGGGCCTTACTTCCCTGTCTCTCGGGCCAGGGGCCTGTGCACGCCAGCACTCTCTGTGCTGCTGCCAAAGGGGATGCTGGGGCCTGAAAAACTACACCCTGCAGCTGAAGGGCTGTCTTTGTTGGTCTGCCAAGGCCTTCCTGAGCATCCTCCAGCCAACAGCCTGTCACGTCCTGGGAGGAAGACCTCCATCTTAAGGCCTGTCCCTCTCGGGGTGTTCTGTCCCTACCCCCCCTCCCTCTTTCTCTCCTAAATGTCTTCTATATGGAACAAAACTTCATTTTGGGAGCTCCTATAGAGGGATGGCATTAAATGTGCCAAAGCCATATTTTCTATTTTACATGAAGACTTTTTTTAAGAACATAAAAAAAGCACATCCTGTCCAATTTGAGAAATCAAGAAAATGGCAGGATAATTTAAAACAGCTCTACAGAAATTAGTGTTTCTTTTTTTCTTTTACTGTAAAAGTAACCACAGAAATTCTCTCCTTCACACGAAAGTCTCAGTTTCCTCTTAGCCAGTCTGAAGTGCTCTTTGTGCACCACTTCCTCTATGTTCATTTATAGCACCCTTTCCCAGAGTAAATACTCCTGTTCAAATAAGATCCTTAATGCTGGGAACAGGCAGGTTGGCCATTACTGTGCACAGCGGCACAGCTTTCAAAGCAACTAAAGAATGTTTTGAAGTTATATGTTTTTGAGAATTAGCATGATATATGAACATTTTTGATAATAGACATAATATAAGACTTTTTTCCTTTTGGACTTCAATACATAAAAGGTGGATAAAAATGTCTCTAAATTTGAAATACTAAATACAGTTATACAAATCAGAAAAAAGGCTACACATTATTTAAGCACTGATCCTTTACATTTTCGCTGGTTGTGTAACACAAATTAATTTGATAGTTTGGTTGGTGAAACTACATTTTTACTAATAGAATTTAAAGAAACCTGAAATAGACACACAAAATGTATAATTAGTGCTCATGTTAAATTATTTCAGGCTAAAGCTTGGATGTTTGGTTTTACATTTTGTGGAGGAAATTAAATCATTTTTAAAGGAGAAATGGCCTTTTGCCAATACACCATTTGAAATGTGTGCAGTTAATCTGTTACTCTTGAACGGAGAAACATCTCTGTCTTGCTATTTTTAAATGTTGTGAACATATTTTTAAAACTTTTCACTGTCAAATTCCTCTTAAAAAATACATCTAAATTTCAAATCAACATTTTAATTGCAATAAATTAAGTGCAAAAATATATATTGTTCTTAACATTTGTTAAAGTTCTTGAATACAAATGACAAAGACTGTCCCTAGACTACTCTAGATTATTTGTATTGTGAAGCTATTTGTAACCCATAAAGTACACAAATTACATAAATCAATAGTTTTATTTACATAATTACTCATCTACTTTTTTCATCAGAGACTTTGATATTCATGTGCAGCTTCTACCAAAAGCTCACTCTTAAATACAGCATTTGTAAACAGGAATTTGTGATTCCATTGTTTTTATCCAGTAATACACCCTCCTCAAACCTTTCGGGAACCACGGTTTGGGAATAACTCTGCTGGCGCCTGGACCTCCGTATCTGAGTTCCTGGAAGCAGTTCAAGATGGCTTATCACTGCCTAACAGCAACAGAGTAAACCTCTTCTATTTAGGAAGCAAAACTCTTATCCAGGTCCAGGACCTTATCTTATCAGAAAAGTGTTTTTGCTATCACTCATCTGCCACTTCTATAGCAAGCCAGACTTTGTTCAAAAGCCATTCTAGTGAAGCAAAGCATGGCCATGTTTTCAGTCGCCAAACCTTATCTTCCTGTGTGTTGTATCAGAGATCTGTACGTAGTGGTTGTCATAAGAGATGTGTTTGTGTGAGTGTATTTGTGGCACATGGGGGATTGGGGATTCAATGAATAAACAAAAAGCTGACAACTTGTCTGATGTAACACCATGACCCCACTTCATATTCAGAGATGGGATCTTTTTACAGTTACTGGGAAAAGTAGTGAGCCTCTCCCATGAGACAATGCATGTGTCATCTCAACACTTTTCCTGTTCTGATGCCCAAATAGCAACGTGTGTCTGAACAACACAATTTCATGTACGGCCCTGTTTGTGACACAACCACTTAAGATCTAATAGAGAAGGTTGTGAGAGACATTTTTACATTAGCTAAGCCTCCAATCTCCACAACTGAGAGGGAGAGGGGTGGTCGATTTTTTTGGGACTAATTCCAGTCAGACAAACAAATCACTCAGTTGATTCAGGACCGAGAGCTCAGAGGACACAGAGCTGCTGGAAGAGGCCCAGGGCTGGGCTTTACTCGCAGTAGTCCTGCTACATCCA